AATCGCTAGCGGTGTGAAAGTACACCGACTAATCCCCCCCCCCCCCATCCCTACAATAATATGGACAACCCTAGAACTCGCTACGAATTCTCGGAGCGCCCGATGGGGTGAAATAAAATTTTAAACAACCGGCGTTGGTTCACTAGTGTTAAGAGAGGTAATTTTTTTAAAGACAAGGATGGACCTAAGAAGGGAGCGGCTGGCCGCTCTAATGCGGAAGACCCTGGGTTCGAATCCTTGGTGAGGGTATGGGTTTTCTTCTGCCGGGAGCCAAAATAAAATCCTAACCACCATAGGCCATGGCGACATCACCAGCCAAGCGGCCCTAAATTTTCAGGCTCAAAGATCGCCCTGGTCTAATCGCAAACATGGTGACTACACACAGTAACTGGCAAGGACCAACGGTTTGGAGATCAGATCAAACAAGTTTTCATATATCAGTTACCTGCAATCAGGTCTCATTCTTTCATCACACACTGGCAAACACGACTCCAGAGTCTAAGGAACGGATAACTTTGATCATGACCACCGCCACCAGATTCGCATTTTACTCTGGATATATCCAGACAGTGGTTTTTCTAGGTTTCATGAGAAGAGCACACGATGGCCATCCTCCTCCTCCTCCCCCCCCCCCACTTTCTGAGCTTGTGGCAGTAGATGCCCTGTCTGTGACAAGCTTGGGCTACCGTCAAGCATGTCTGCAGATGGTCTGTGTTGTTCAAGGAGTATGCCGCTGTGTTTGTCCATTGTTCTGGTCATTTCATCAAGTTTTTGTCCATTGTTCTGGTCATTTCATCGAGTTATCACAGAATAAACTTCTCTTTAAAAAAAAGCAGACAAAAACAAAATACTGGCAGCATTACTTGTGTAGGATATTTACATGTCATATCCAACACCTTCTTTTCTCCCTGCACTTCTGTATCTCCTCCCAACGGAGAAAAGGCCACAACCAACTCATGCCACCGAGTATTATTTCCTTTGCAATCGCACGCAGCTCATCCCATGTCTTCCCCATCGCTTCAACTTCAGTTTCTAGTTCCATTCTCAGTGGATGTGGTTTTATTTTTATGTCTGTCTGAATTAGACCCTCCCTACAATAAAAACAAAATTTGATACCCCTAAAACAGAGTTAAATTTGATCCTGCCTCCAAGAAAATAAAATCGGATCCTGCCTACAATAAAGTTACATTTTATCCTCAGTCCAAACAAAGTGTCATCTGAACGAAAGCAACCTCTCAGTGCTAACAGCAAATGAAACACCACAGCATCCACAACTTTATATAACACCCCCCCCCCTCTCCCCCACTGACCAAAATAATGACAGCATCACACCTATCTCCAACAAAATAGATATTTTACTGGCTGCAGCGGCCACAGACACTACAAACTATTTCTCACTGCCCATAAATAATAAACATTATGCTTTTCTTACAGACAACCTATCCAGTCCCTGGTGACTTCACCAACAGAAAGCTAGACTCGAACCACTTGCCACAAGTAGGGCCAGCCAGGAAGTCAACCATCTGAAGCACTCAAGCCGCAGCTTGAGATAAAGCCTCACAAGTGAAGCAGGCCGGCTGCTCAGTTTCAGCCAGCCAGCCAACCCTCTATAAACGATACCGGCCGTGTGTTGAGTGGCGTGTTGGCGGAAATCATGAGAGGTTAGAAAACTGATCCACAGATGAAAGGGCCCGCGACCACATCACGTGAATAGGTAGAATGAGAGACTGAATGAATCAGGAGCGTTATTCCCAAAGGGCCACAAATTTGGCACGCATGTCCGTCCCGGGTATTTCTAACAATTTACCACATCTTACGTTTGAACTTTCCAAGCATTCACTTTTCGCAAACTATGTTCTAACTTTCCAACCATTTATCTCTTATATTCAACCTTTCCAACCGTTTATCTCATCCTATTTTCAGTCTTTCCAACCATAAATCTCTTATATTCAGCCTTTCCAACCACTTATCTAAATTCAGTCCTTCCAACCATGAATCTCTTATATTCTTTCTTTTCAACAATTTATCTCATCTTATATTCAAAATTTCCAACCAGCCATTATCTCGTCTTATATTCAAAATTTCCAACCAGCCATTTATCTTGTATTATATTCAGTATTTCCAACCATTTATCTTGTCTTATATTCAACCTTTCCAACCATTTATCTCACCTGGAGATGGCTGAAAATGTGAAAAAAAGATAAGGTGGAGGTTTTCAAGCGCTGTGCTGCACAGGCCAAAAGAGCAAAGTGGGAAACTTTTGTGAATGACATGGGAGGCGATAAAACATTGAGGAAATTCTGGAAACTGCAAAGGCAGATGCAAAGAAAAGATCGGCCTATGACAGTCGGGACAATTTGTAGAGACGATGGTGTGCGTGTGACAACAGACAAGGAGAAAGGGGAGGCTTTTCTCCATAGGTTTATAGCTCAGACAGATCATAATGATGCAGACATCAGGGATGAGGTTAGAAAGGAGTTAGCTGGCACCTTGAAGAATATGCATTATGAAGACATGATACAAGTGGAAGTTATCAAACAAATTTTGAAAAAAGCAAAAGACACTGCACCAGGGCCTGATGATGTCAGGTATGGTCACATGAAGGCTTTGAGCGATGTAGACCTGGCAGAGATGGCCGACTGTTTTAACCAGAGTATTAAGACAGCATCAGTACCGCAAGACTGGGTGCACAGCTATCTAATACCACTACTAAAACCTTTTAAAGATCATTCTAAGCTTAGTGGCTTTAGAATCATCACCTTACAAAACACATTTGGGAAGGTCTTGGAGAAGATAGTTGCTGTAAAGCTGCAAGAATTTTTGGAAAGGGGGAAGCTTCTCCCAAGAGGTCTGGGAAGTTACAGGCCAGGAAAGGACACTTGGGCAAATGCGGCCACTTTTGCTTTTGACGTCTATGAAGGGTTCCAGAACAGACAGGAAACTATGGCGGTAGGACTAGATCTCGAGGATGCTTATAACAGAGTGAGATACGACATCTTAATGACTGCACTGAGGGAGAAGGAGGTCAATCCATGGCTGGTGAATTGGGTTGCAGCTGTCCTGTATTCACGTCGGGTTGCTCTCTGACTCGGCTCATAGACCTCTGAACCATGCACTTTGGCCCCAGGACTGCCACAGGGATCCGCCATCTTGCCTGTGCTCTTCAACGTGTATACGAGCAAGATTGCAAGCCTAGAAGCACCAGGACTTGGAAGGATACTGACTTTTGCGGATGATATACTTGCATATAGGAAGGGGGAAGAGAGGGACCAAACAGCAACACTTTAGTTGCTCCCAGAGTTAGTTTAATATCCTCGACAGAACACTGCAGAACCAACCCCAGATTTATTTTTGGTGATTTGTGATTTTAACAGATACTTTTTATGCATAGTATTCTGACATTGCTTCTGCATGGTCGGCTCTCAAACCCAACGCAAGGCAGTCTGCTTCTGAATCGCCTGCAGCTGGGATCGAAACTAGCACCTCGGCATTATAAAGCATGCTCGCAACAGCCAAGCCACGAATAATTATCATTTAAATCCTTGTTACTAACCATTTCAATGGCAAAAAAGACTATTTTTAAGCTGAGGTTTTTCTTGTGTGTGAATGTCGTAGACCCCATAATTTGTTCCCCCCCCCCCTCCGACTTTCAAATGGGAAAGACTGCATTATATCGCTCAGTTCCAGGTTCTATTTATACAAATTTAAAAAGCAAATAGACAATGTTATTGATGGGCACTCACAGAAAGAAGGACACACTAGACAACATAAAAGATTTTATGATGTCTAGCGTCTTTCTATCTTTTTACCTTTTTCTATCCCCCAATGGAGCATAGGCCCTCAACCACCTCATGCCAAGTCGTTCTATCCTTCACTATTACATGGAGCTCTCCCCATGTCCTCCCCATCTTTCTAATTTCATTATCCAGCTCTCTTCTCCATGCGTTTTTTTTTTGCCTTCCTTTATTCCAACGACGCTAAGACATTCTAGTTATGCTGTTTTTCTGTTTTCTTCAAGTGTGTCCTATCCATTGCCAGTGACTTTTCCTCACCTCTTTGCACACGGTTCTATAAGTGCCGATCAATATATTGTCTGTTTATTATATATCAAGTTTTTACAGTCTCAAGGGATCTCCCTGTTTATGTGTGTTACAGGTTCTAATTACATCATACAATATTCTTCAGCATTATTTAAAGGCTATGCCCAAACTGGCACTTTAAATCATTCTTTGGCATGTCATTTTATTTTCACAAATCCTGGCCAGGCCTGTCCTATGCAGAGGAATAACTTCAGCACTGGCCTCATTGGCTGTGACTGGCAAGCTTTTCTAAAACACAATACAATACCATCTTCTGGAAAGATGAAAAGGCGCCGGCACACCCAAACACAGAGTAATAACTTAGGAGTATTTTCTTTAATTTTTATTTTCACAATTATCGGCTGTAAACTCGGGAGGAAATTTATAGCTGTTTGTCAAATTCTGAACTTTGAGATCTTTTTCCAGAATCTCTGTGTTGTCGCATGCAGACCTTTGGTTCCTCGCCTCTCAAGCAAATGGTGCACTCCAACTTCAAAGTCGGCTTGTACCTGCTTGTTAGGGACACGGTGGGTCCATTATGGTTCACCCCCAAAGAGAATTGTTACTATTAATGCAAAGTTTCTTAATCTTCTTCTTTGCTCCAGTGTAATGTCCAGGTTCTTCCATTGGGACTCTGGCTTTGCCAGGGCCGGAGTTTTGCTGCCTTATTTGTGGGGAGCTGGTTGTTCCTTGCCATCGTGGTAGATGAGCTCTGACTTCAAAGGTAGTCGACTCCTACGACATGTTTGTTGGGGAGGCAGTGGGGTCTATTCTGGTTTCCCCACAATGGGGCTGTGGAACCAACATAGGGAAATTTTTACTATCAAAAAGACAGTTTTCAAACGAGCCACAAATGCAAGAAGATCTACTTAACAGCACAAGCCAAAAGAGAAAGCTGAGCAACAACAAACACATCCTTACCTGTAATAGCGTGACTGCAGGTAGGTTGAACACACTGCCTTGGACACATGACTTGCGGATCCAAAATCAATCACCTTCACCCTGTAGGGGAAGCGTACGGGATCCACAAGCATGATGTTCTCCGGCTTGAGATCCGCATGTATTAATCCCAGCTCCTTGAGTTTGCCCAGGGCATGCAACACCTGCGTCGACAAACACATACAACTGAACGAAACTCAACAGTAGAAAATGCTTCCTATTCAATAGTAAATTTTATGTGACACGACTGGGAAAAGTAAAAAGTTGAATGCAGCAACCTGTCCTCTGCATAAAAAAAATTAATAAATAGTTCCTAAAGAATATACACACTAAATAAATAAACACCCTTCTCTTTCACGTTCAGCTGCTGTAAACTCTGGCAGAAGTTCTTGGTAGCTGACCCATTTGTGGACTTTGGTCTTGTTCCATGATTTAAGCCTTGTATACACATCCGTTTTACTGATCTGGTTTATGTGTGTGCAGTGTTGGTCCCTCACCTTTCAGGCAGATGTACTTATTTCAGCCGACACATCCAACTTCTGGCATTTGTTATTGGGGTTACGTAAGTCTTCCAAGACAGTTTCATGGGACATCTGTACCCACACATGTGTGGTGACTGTCATCCACTGATCCACATGAGTTCTGCCTAAAGAACCCCATCAAGGGCAGCCACAGACAGACTGGTCAATCCTCACAGGAATGCTGAGGCAGAGCAGGGGCATCTTCCCCCCCCCCCCCCCCCCCCCCCCCACCAAGGAGGCTAAAATTACTGCAGACCCGATACATGAAGCTCTGGTACTGTGCTGATCCAAGGGATCGCCACGTCCTGCACATGGCTGCTTAACATCACATCCATATATGAAACCTTCCACTCAACACGGGGTTCCTTTCCCATGATATCCCCGTAGCACTTCAACTTGATTCAAGGCTGCAGTGATACAATCTCAGTAACAATCTAGTGCAGCTTCTTCTTCTATGCGTTCACCAGCTGTCAACTCTGGTGGAAAGTTCTGGTTGTTCGTCCACTTCTGGACTGCAGGCCTGTTCCAGAACCTGAGTGTTACGTGTGCATCTGTTTGACAGATCTGATTCACCTGAATGCAGACTGTTGGTTCTGTGTCTCTCAAGCAGACACTCTGACTTCAAAGAAAGCGCCCCAATTAGTCGACTCTTACGACATGCTTTTGGTAGGCAGTAGGTCAGTTCTTGTTTTGCCCACAATAGGGCCCCGTAACCAACACGGGGAATCAGTTAAAAAGGGAGCTGGTACTAAAATTTCATGTGTTATTTGGGCCCACAAAGAAATCATATTAGTGTTACCTTTCCTTTGCAGTTAACAAAGCAGATGAAGGGAAAGATCAGCATGAATGAGAATCACTTGGTCTCTAAAATACTGCCCAGGCTTTGTGCTACAGAGAGGAGAGAAACACTATCCCTGGACTGGGCATCAACAAAGCCTGAGATTCCCATGACACCCCAAAGCAAAATGTGACATTATTATCTGGAAAGACAGAAAAGTGCCAACAAAGGAAAGCAGGGAGGAGCAACACTGTGACTAATCAAACCTCATCCAAAAGGTGACAAGAGGGTTGGTGTAAAATACCTAATACAGTAGGATTAGTTGAGAGCCCTCCAAGGTGAGGTGGTCAAACCATGGATTCATTTCCCGGCTCACGAGTGCACATTTGTATAGGGTACACCTGGGAATCATCCCTGCAGCTACATTGCTCCTGTGACAAACTGGGCAGACAGCTAGCCGTTCTGCTGACAGATGAAGCCATAAAGGATAAACTCTGATGCAATGAAGCTGATCCTTTAACTTTAAATTTATCCAGTAGAAATTGACATCCAATTGACCAGGAACAACTACAGGGATGGGCATGGGCTGGCTGAAGGCTCATACTCCAATGGAAGATGACAGGCAGAAAGCATGAGCTGACTGAAGGCTCATACTCCAATGGGAGATGACAGGCAGAAAGCATGAGCTGACTGAAGGCTCATACTCCAATGGGAGATGACAGGCAGAAAGCAAGAGTTGACTGAAGGTCCATACTCTACTAGGAGATAAAAGAAAGCTGGCTGAAGGTTCGTACTCTGGGAGATGACAGGCAGAAAGCATAAGCTGACTGAAGGTCCATACTCTACTGGGAGATGACAGGCAGAAAGCATGAGCTGGGCTGGTTGAAGGTCCATACTCTACTGGGAGATGACAGGCAGAAAAACTTGTGCATGGCCCGTCCCACACAATGACATGTGATTACAACTGATACTCACCTGATAAGTGATTGGTCGAATGTACTTCAGAGGAAGAGGCTGGAATTTGTTCTGCTTCAGAAAGTCGTACAAGTTCTGCTCCAACATCTCAAACACAAGACAGGTGTGGTTCTTGTGTTGGAAGCACTCATAGGCCCTCACAAAGTTGTAGTCGTCTGCACTCTCTTGGGCCAGTCTTGACAAGATACCAACCTACATCACAAATAGAATATCAACAACTGCAGCAACCAGGATCTTTGTACACTTCTATTTAGTTAGGTTTTGTTCATTTTTCTGGTTTAAAAAAAAATTGTTTGCTGGATATTTATTAAATCAGTTATAAAATCTCTCCAAGTGTGGGTTCCAGGTCCCCATTGGAGGTGGAGGAGACATAAGCCCAATGCCCCCTAACAGACATGCCAAACAACATTATTTAGAGGTTTGCTGAAGGTAAGTTATCATTACCTAGCTCTAAACAACAACATTAAATGACAACCAATCTTTTCAGGGGAACATCAGAAGATGATACAAATTCACAAACTAACTCGGGATAATAACCGCTTAGTCTGATATATAAGTCAGGGATCATTTGTAGGATCATTTAAGGAGTCAGGCATTTCAAGCTTTCCTTCTCCAGGACAATTCCTGGTACACATTTTTGGCTGACTGACCTTTAAGCGTGGGTCCATTATAAAATCTGCTTCAAAGCAGACCAGAACCCCAAACACCTATCCATTGGCAGCTGCCGTGGTGTAGCAGCTAGACTTGGGCCCTTCGACTAAGTTTACCCAGAGGCCAAATTATTGAAAAATGGGCATGGTCGCGGGCTAGACCCCAGTCCCCACAATACAACTTGTAGTGATCTGCAAGCTACTTGCTAGACCCTGGGCTAGATGCTCACCAGCTGATTCAAAGATCATGGTCCAGGTAATGGCAGAGCTGGAGCTCCCAGGCCTTAAATGGGTACAAGATTAAATCCTAGGAAATCCAATATTATGGGGGTGGGGGAGTTAGGTTTCGGGTTAGTCGGTGTTCATTTCACACCCTAACACCCTTAAACTACTGGACTTTCCCTGAAACTCCCCCCTAAATTTCGGAGTCCCCGAGATGAAGGTGAAATAAAAGAAAAGACCCAAATCACGCTAGGGCTTACTTTCAGGTTTACAGTTACATTCTCTGCTTCTCTTATGGACACCTCTCGCACACAAACCAACGTACAGGGTATGACATAAGCTTCCATACACAGGAAAAATAAAGATATCACCATTACTATCACAATCATAACTCGTGCTGTGCTTGTACACCTTCAAAAGTGGAAGGCGCACTGAGATGTAACCAGCCATTTTTCTCTGGATATTTCATGTTTGCATTACTAATGAGGTTAGATACTGAACATATGAGATGTTGTAACCAGTCATCTTTCTCCGGATATTTCATGTTTGCATTACTAATGAGGTTAGACACTGAACATAAATAATGTACTTTAGTGTGGATGAATTGGGTTAAGGACGAACGAGTTACACCTTTAAATGCAAGGCAAGTGAGCAGATTGACGGGTGCATGTCAAATTTAATCAATCATGAATTAGGTGAGTGAATGTCAGAGAAACGCGGGGTAATGAAAGGTTACTTAATTCAAAGAATGATCGAGAAGTATAGGTCTTGTTTTGGGTTCTAGGAACTGTGTGTGTGTGTGTCACGAGGATGAATGAATCAAATGGATTCCTGAACCAGTAAGTTGATAAAACCTGGCTACTGTTTAGTTTGACAATTCTGGTCAAAGCTGGACGTGTTGTGTTTATTCAGCGTGGAAGATTGTCGTTGTCAAGATATCGCCGTTGGACTGCTCACGTGTATTTTCTTTTTGAAGGTAGGTATTCATCGATATTTACATTTTGCGATCAGTTGTCGAGCTGCGGTCCCTTGACCGTCACCTCAGTGAGCACTGGCTCAAAGGCAGCTGTGTGATATCAGCATCAGCTGTGCATTCATCTTGTCCATTGATTTAGCTTTCTGAAGCATGAGTTGGTGTGCACTGGAGAAGACTGCAGATGACTACAGCCAAGAGACTGACTTAAAGAGTCATTGCAGAAATGGGTGCTCATCCAACCGAAAGAATCCAAAGGCAATAAAAACTACTGGAGGTTAGCCAACCGTTCAAGTTTTGGGTTTTCAGAACGATAGTAGTTGTGTCATATCATTATCATCACGTAACAGGCTCTTTGTAGAACGTCGTTCTCACCACTGTCTGCCTGTGGGGACGGAAGGGGGGGGGGGAGGACCCTGGTCTCTTGCCAGCTCTTTTCACCTTGTGCACTTTTATATTTAAGGAGTCACATATCTTGTGCCAATCTTCGTGTTGGTCGGCCCTGCCACTCCTTCCTGGTACCATGCATTCTGCTATTACCGTTTCCAGTCAGCAATGGTGCTTGACAAGACTAAAAATATTTCAGCTTCCGAGACAAGATGCTGTTTATCAGCCAATCTTGCTTAATGTTCAGATCTTTTCAAGTGTCAGTATTTCATTTCTTTGTCCATGGTACTTTTAGGAATCCTTCTTTAGAATTTTTCCTCAAAAGCCCCTATTTTCTTTCATAAGGACTAGGAGACAGTCCACAACTCACATCTGTATTTGGCTAGAGGGATACATGCTCTCAAAATTTTAATTTTTGTTGCTGGTGCTTGACCACAGACTTTTAAGGCTGTTTTACCTTTGCATTGCTGTGGCATGTACAGCATATAAAATACATTTGAAAGTTTAACAAGAAACATTTTAGCTTTTTCCATTGTACAGAAACATACGACATCCTGCAACGTCACAGTAACGGTGAACTGCCATAGTGTCTTCCTAACACACAGTCTCTTTGTCTGTATCAAGCTGCACATCTCCTAGGAACAAACTTCCCCAGCACTTGAGCTCAAGGGCCACTATGTAGATTCCCCCCCCCCCCCCCAGAGCTGACATCCCTGTTAAGTGGAGCTGGTTATCTACACAGCTGCAGGATTGAACTATGCAACAACTATCAATTTAATCTGACCAAAATCGACGGACTCCAGTAAGTTATGAAGTAAGAACCGAGATAACGGAACTCAGAACATTTCCATAAGTGCCCCATCTCCATCTTCAGCAGCAATTGCAAAGTTCCAACTTCAATGGTGCCTGTAACAGTCTGTTTGTGTGTCCCATCCCATCCCCGGAGTGTTGAGCATCGATCAGATCCCCTGGTCACTCCTTGCTGCAATAAATTAAGTAAATAATACCCTCCCCTTTTTTTACAATTAGCGCACTGGACACATGGTGGTGCTAAGTATATTTTTGCACAGATTCGATTAAAAATAGGATCAACAGGCACCTTTACTCCCTGGCACATTTCCGAGAACTCTCTTCTTTCGTGTGATTTTAGTTTACGGCTTATTTGCGTTACAGCATAACTGCGATATTTTCACATCTGCTGACTGTATGTAAGCTTCGTGGAGTGTTCATCTTTGTCTCATGCCCCCACACCCCCAATTCACCAGTGGTCCATGATTCTCTGTAATATATTCTCACAGCTCTTAGGCTTTCCATTTCCTTTTGTCAACTAACTGTTACCAGATTGTAGCCCAGTGTCAAAGTCTTCTTATCTGTCCTGCGTTTCTCAGGTGGCTTGAGTGATGGATTTTTCATTTCTTTTTGCAAATTTAAGCAACACCATTTAACCACCTCTTTCTTGGTCTTCCCCTCGCCTTCCTCCCAGCTTTTCTGCTCTAAAAAGTCTCATATGCCTGTCTAGTCTGACTGCATTCTCTGTCTGCCTATATAAAACAAACAGTTGTATTCTAACTTGTTCTATAATGCTGGTGTTGGTAACCCTTCTCTTCTTGTGCTGTTAGAGAGACAATGCATGTCCCAGGCAGTGATTATCTGTTCCAATACCCTATTTATTGTTCATGCTTGTCCTGATAGCAAAAAGTAGGGATGCAGATGTTATTAAAAGACTACACAAAAAATAGGTCTATTCAACTAAGTTTACTATTTCTAAAATAGCGATCGCTAAGGGTGAAAGGCCCGATCCTCAACATAGAAAGATTATTACAATACAACTGGCGGTACTAATCACAAGTCACCCTATCTTGTCGGAAGCATGATGTTGTAGGGGATTTCCCGGGACACTCCTATAGTCTAGAGGTGTCATGTGTTCCCCATTTTGATCATTTCAAGCAGATCCACTAGCAACAACAGCCACTGTCAACGAATTTAATATTACGAAAACATAAATGATTTTATATTCACAAGCATCGTGCCAGCGGCACTCCCTCATCAGTACTTTCTCGTACGCAAGCACCTTCGACCTACTGTTCACAGAAAACAGTTGGGAAAACAAACCTGGGCCACTGCTTTTCGAAAGTGTGTACACACGGCGAAGCAAGCCACACCGTTACGTCCCCACACCTAGGACAGCCCATGGGAACTGGCACTACATGAATGGGAGCTGGCATTAAATCCTGTGTGCGAACGAGATGGGGTGACTCGTGATTAGTACCCAACAGGCCATTATTTTCAAGCTGAAAAACACTGGTATACAACAACATATAAAGAATCAGCCTTACCTCAATTTGTCCTTGTCTGGCATAAGAAGGATGATTCTTCAAAATCTTGATGGCATATATTTCATTCGAATGATGCTTCCAGCACTTGCATACTTGTCCAAAGGTGCCACGGCCAAGGAACTCCAGCACCTCGTAGGCAGCAGTCTGAGAGTAGAGGACCTCATGCTGAACCAGCTGGTAATCCCCTTCGGAATTTGCCGAGCTGGCATTGTTGGCCGCCACCTTCTTGGAGGTGGTGGTTGTGGTGGTGGTCGTGGCTGTGCCGCTCTCATCCTCGCTCGATATCGCATGCAAGTCTGTCAGCTGCATGGGATTGTTGTGATGGTGGTGCTGCACGCGAGAACTACCGCTGGAAGCCGCGAGAGAGCCAGCTGTGACAGAACTGATAATACCCCCCTTGTGCAAGTTACTCACAGATACAATAGGTTTGGCAGCCCCAATTAAAATAGTACCGTCACCGTCACAAAAATCTGTAACCTTGCGTTTCAGACCCTTAGGGACTAAAGTCACTGAATGCTGTTGATGAGACTGCAGCTGGGTCTGGCCCTGAAGATGCTGCAGTTGCTGCTGATGCCCTTTCCGGGCAGAGGCAGAGGCTACGGATCCACGATTAAAGACAGTAGCCACGCTAAGGTGATTGTCACCAACTGTGGAAGAGGAGCAGGAAGATAAGTGAGAGAGCAGAGCGCTGTAGTCCGCAGGGTGTTGTTCGGGTACAATGCTGAAACTGCTGCTCGCATTGTGGTTACACAAACTGTCAGTGAGCTTGAACACGCTGGAGCTTCGTGAGGATGTGTGCGAGGTCACAAAAGGGGAGACAACATGGTACGAGGAACCTACATACTGCTCTATCGGCAGCGATTCCACTTTCACTTTCTTGTAGTTACAGAATGCACTGATTTTGGCGTAATTTTGAAGGGTTTCTTGCATCAGGGCATTAGTCACTAAAATGACACACACATACAAAAAAAAAGATAATTAATTTACACAAGAAATGACAAAAATTAACAAAAAGATAACATTTTATTAATAAAAGTTGAAATTATTTTTTCGTCTTACTGTTACTAGGGTGTAGCCTAGTGTCACAGGTTTTCTGTATTTGTCTTGTGCTTCTTGGGTGACTTAAGCGATGGATTTGTTAATTTTTTTTTTTTTTAAGGTTTCAGCTACACCATTAGTCTTTCTATCTATCTCTTAGTCTTCCTCCCTGATATTCTACTATAAAGAGTCTAATTTACAGTCTGGTCTGGCTGCATTCTCATTAGATGGCTGAACCATTTTATTCTTTGTATATATAATCTAGACATGGTCTTATCTCGACTTTTCCTCTAATGCTGGTATTTATAACAGCAGAGACTGTGCATTTCACATGTAGTTATTTTCTGTTCTACTGCCCTATTCATTGATCATGTTTGGCACTCATAACATAAAGTAGAGATAAAGATTCTATCAATCATCTGCTGTAAGGCAGACATTTAGGTGTCTAAGTAGTGGGGCTAATTGGTAAGTGGACAGCATTTGCCTAAGTAAAAAATTTTTTTAAAGTTTTTTCTTCTTCTTTTTTGATATGTTCAGATCAGACCATCAAGGTTTCCCATAGATTGCTCTGCACACTTTGCTCTTAAGGCTAAGTTTCTTCTTGAAGATGCAGGTATGTTGTTGGGGTCTGCAGAATGTGCTGAGATGTTTGTAGTCCTGTTTGATATGCACACTGTGGGGACTGTGCAGTCAGGCAATTTTGTTTTATAAAAAAATGTGTAAACATCCTAAAGGGTATAGATTAACCTACAAACTAAAATCATTTCCTTAAAAAAATCACAGGCATGATTTATGTAAAAAAATGAAGTGACAAATACAAGTAATTTATAAAACACGGACAGATACGATGAATTTCTGAAAAGCTCAGACAGGTCCAAAAAAAATTTTTAATCGTTGAGAATTATATATTTTTGTATAAAACAAGAGACTGTATATGGTATAGAAATGGACACACAAAATTTATATATGGCAGGACTTCTTGCGCATTGCTGAAGACCCTCCTTAAACCTGACTATAGTTTAATATATTGTACATATCATGTTGCATAAAACAACTATCTTAACATCTGAGCCATTGATAATCTCTTCTCATTACTTTTTAAATTAAAAAAATTCTCAACCACATGGGGGAAAAAACAGTCTTTAAAAGTATGGTACGAAAGGATAATTGAAAGATACAGAGATAAGGTATTCTTAACCATATCAAGTAGCAAATTTAACAGTCATAATTTTTTTCTTTCTTCCTTTATATGTTGTTTAATTAAGAAGTTTTTCAATATGTAGAGAAGGGCTGTTCAACTTAGTTTACTCACGGGCCAAAATGAAACTAGGATCATCGCTGGCCACAGATCTGAGTCCCAGAGTAGAAAACCCATTATAATACAATACAACTGGCATGTGACCTGCAGGCCACCAGTTAAACAGCCCTGATGTAAAGTTTTCCACAGCCCTACAGATAAATATTGTTCCTTGTAGACAGAAATAGTTATGGAACCAATAAAAGAGCCCACAAACCAGCTAATGTGCAAATGAAAAACAACCTGAAGCAACGAAAATAAATATTGTTGGGGGTCACCACTACATGAGGAATTTTATGAAAGGGTTGTGGCATTGAGAACCGCTGTGTTACATAAACAGACATTTCTGTTTAGTGCAAACAGTAAAAGTGCTTAATGTGCACCAATTATTGAAGAGTAGTCTAAGTCTCAACATCAATCTGCACAAAAGTGCTTTCTTATTTCATTCGCTAGCTGACAGAAGAAATGAACATTAGAAGCCAATGCAGCACAGAATTAACATATAATACAGCTTCACACGTGTCATTTTTGTGCCTGTTGTGGCTTCATCATTTTATATGGCCAGTGACGAGACTTTTAAAGTTTCCATTAATTATATGGCACAAAGCAAACATTTTAACTTTACAAAATTAAATAATTTTTTCTTGTGATCGCATCCCTGATCTACAATCGAGTTTTTACGATAATACTAGTTTTTTTGTTTAGTTTTTCAAGTTCGTTTCCTCTCCCAGCATTGCAATTGGAAAGACAGACCACTTTTTCCTTTTTCTTCCTTACTTCCATAAGCTTTGTGCATGGTGTTGATAATTAGGCCAGTATTCCATTCATCAAAATCTTTTCTTAAATTTAAAGAAAACGAAAATGATGTCCACAGATCAAACTGGCTGTCACCCAAAAATAACAATAAATGATGAAGAAATTGAAAATGTCACAAACTTTGAATATTTAGGCTCTATAATAAACAACAATGGAGACTGTTCAACAGAAATTACAAGAAGGATGGCCATAGCAATGCAAAGATTAAACAGCCTTAAAAGTCTATGGTTAAGCACCAGCAAGAAGATAATTAGAATTTTAAGAGCATGCATCTTCCCTGTGGCTACATACGGATGTGAGTCGTGGACTATCTCTCAGTCCTTAAGAAAGACAATAGGGGCTTTTGAGCTGAAATGCTATAGAAAGATTCTCAGTATATCTTGGACAAAGAAGATGAGAAATATTGACATCTTAAAAGATCTGAACATCAAGGAAGACTAGCTAAAAAACAGCCTCCTTTCTCAAAAGCTGAAATATTTTGGTCATATTAAGCGCCACGACGAATTGGAATAAATTATAGCAGAAGGCATGGTACCAGGAAGGAGGGGCAGGGGCCGACAGACACGAAGATGATCACAGGATATAAGTGACTCCTTGAGTGTGAAAGTGAATGAGGAGGCAGGAGAACTGGTGAGTGACCGAGTTTCTTTCAGGCAGACTGTGATGAGAGCGACGTTATGCAAAGGACCTGTTACATGATGATGATTCCATTCATTAAAGACGATTAAGCACAGAAAATTGAAATATTTTGCACTTGAAATCTCTCAAAAGTTAAGAGAGAACAATAATTGAGGTGTATATGCCTCGGAAGAGAGAAAGAGGAAGGCGAAAGAGAAGATGGGTGCAGGATGTGGCAGATAATATCCAGATGGGTGTATCGGACGCGGGACATCTTGCTAGTAAACAAGAAGTTTTCCGGAGGGTTGTTATGGAAGCAAGGTTCTGCAAATGACATGCTACTGACTGACTGATTCCACTCTCAAGGGGCCATCATGCCAGAACACGTTCTGCGGTTTGTACGCACGTTTTTAATACAATACACTTCACTGCAACTAAAAGTTATATCTTCTTCTTGGCGCTGACCGGCTGTAATCTCTAGCAGAAAGTTCTGGTTGTTCGTCCACTTCTGGACTTAGGTCTTGTTCCAGAACTTGAGTTGTCTGCGAGCTCATTGTACAGATCCAGCTTATATTTGTGTGACTATTAGTTCCACATCCCCCAGGCACAGACGCACTATGATGACTGTGGAAAAAACAACCTAGTCGCCTTGCTGGGGCAAAAAGGGGAGGGTGTCTTGTTTCCCCCCCCCCCCCCATAAGGGCATGCACAGGAAAATGAAGGTTAATTAGTAGAGATTGAGTTTTATTTTACAAATTAACTACTGCTTGGAATAATAATAATTTTTTTTAAACAACATAATGCTAGGATCAACATTACAAACAAAAAGTTCCATTATAAAATTATACAGCACACTGGCAACTATGAACCTCTTTTAACTACAGTGAAAAGGCGAAAAATGCAATGGTATGGACATGTAATAAGATCTAATGGCCTCTCAAAAACAATACTGTAGGGCTCAGTAGAGGGAAAGAGGAGAAGAGGCCGGCCAAGAAAGACCTGGTTACAGAACCAGACTGACTGGACAGGCCTCAGGCATTCAACCATGAAGTCAACTGACCGCCAAAGGTGTTACGGGATGATGATGAATGCTAGGAATTTAGTATTCCTTGGACTCTTTGGTTTCCATTTAGCTGTGATGCTGGAAATTTTAATAAAATACTATTATCATATATTTCTTCTTTTTCACGGAATGTTCTGGTTGTTTATCCACTACCGTCCCCGTGAGGGTTCCAGGGGCCGGCCTTATTGTGAGGAAAACAAGAATAGACCCACTGCCTGCCCTACAAGCATGTGGCAAGAGTCAACTAACTGGGAGCGTCCGAAGTTGGAGTGCATCTGCCTGAGGGGAAAAGAACAACCTGCACACAAATAAACCAGTACAACAGATGTACACGCACAACTCAGGCACTGGCATGAAGCCAAAGTCCAAATGTGAGAGCAACCAGGACATTTAGCGGGAGTTTACAGCCAGTTAACAAAGAAGAAGAAGGGGATCCATTTTTAGACTTTCATCTTGTTGCAGAACTTAAGTATGATGCGCAAATTCAATTGACAGATCTGGTTTATTTGTATACAGACTATTGGTTGCTCACCCTTCAGGCAATTGTACTCCTAAATTCGAAAAACCCTAATTAGACGACTGTTTACAACATGAAGGAGCGGATGGCCGAGTGATTACGAAGTCAGGCTCTCATGCGGGAGCCCTGGGCTTGAACCATGGTAAAGTAATGGAGTTTTCTGCCTGCTGCAAAATTTAACATCCTAACCTGTAGTCCGTGGTGACAAACACTAGCTGTGCGGCCCTAAATTCTCAGGCTCAAGATCCCCTGTCTACACCGACCTACAAAGTGGTAGATACAGACAGTCCTGGGATATTTTGCTAAGTGCTGGGGGGGGGGGAGGGGAGGGGGGCTCAAAAGTTTTGGAACAAGACTAAAGTACAGAAGTAAATAAACAACCAGAACTTCCCCCGTTGGAGTTTACAGCTGATGAAGTTGAAGAAAATTGCAACAAGATAACTGATAATAAATATGGGGCCACTGAATGACAAGCTTTAAAAAACCAGAAGTTCTAGTGGGAACAGATAAACTAAATATAGAAAACTCTGTGAAACAGCCACTCTTGTGTTGGATGTCACATAAAACAAATCAAGTGGCAA